AAGAGCGGCCCAAGAGAGCCCCAAGCGGCTCCAAGGCCGCCACAACACGGCTCCAAGTGGCCGCGGAGCCTCCCGAGGACGCCCCCGAGAAGCTAAGACGGCCAAAGAGGTCCCCAAGACGCTCCAAGAGAGCCCCGAGAGGCGCCCTAAGAGGGCGCCAAGAAGCCAAGACCATTGATTTTCCGTGGGCGTTTCAAACATTTTAGCAGTCCCGTCCTTTCGGCTTCCCGACGCTCCAAGACAGCCCAGAAGGCATGCAAGACCGCCCCAAGATGGCCCAAGAGGCTCCCAAGACGGCTCCAAGACAGCCCAAGAGGGCCCCAAGACGGCCCAAGCGGCGGCCAGTACGGCCCAAGAGGGCCCCAACCAAGACGGCCCCAAGAGCGCCCAAGTGGCGCCCAAGAGCGGCCCAAGAGGGCCCAAGAGGCTCCAAGACCGCCCCAAGACGGCTCCAAGTGGCCGCGGAACCTCCCAAGGACGCCCCCGAGAGGCCAAGACGGCCCAAGAGGCCCCCAAAACGCTCCAAGAGAGCCTCGAGAAGCGCCCTAAGAGGGCCAAACGAGGCCAAAATCACTTAAGTATTTCAAACATTTTAGCGTTCCCGCCCGTTCGGCTTCCCGACGCTCCAAGACAGCCCAGAAGGCATGCAAGACCGCCCCAAGACGGCCCAAGAGGCTCCCAAGACGGTTCCAAGACGGCCCAAGAGGGCCCCAAGACGGCCCAACAGGCGGCCAATACGGCCCAAGGGGGCCCCAAGACGGCCCCAAGACCGCCCAACAGGCGCCCAAGAGCGGCCCAAGAGGGCTCCAAGAGGCGATATTTCGGGCCCCGACGGGGGTACACCAATAGATGCTCTCTCCTTCTTTGCCCGATGGCCTCCAAGATTGCCCCAAGAGACCTCCCAAACTCCCACACAGAGCCCCGAGAGGGTTCCAAGGCTCCCATAGGAGCCCCAAGAGAGCCCCAAGAGAGCCCCAGGGCCACGATTCCCTGAGATCCCAAGAGAACCCCAAGATCGCACGGCAACGCCAGGAGGAGGAGGACGAAGAGAAGGAGCAACGAGGACGAGGAGGAGAGGAGGATGAAAGAAAGAAGCCAAAGAGAGGGAGAAGGAAGAGAAAACACCCTACGGTAATCGCACCTTTTTCGAGCGGCTGCTTTTGGATGGGCTGGTGGGGACTCACGAAGCGTAAACAATTTCCATTAGGTGTTTGAAGGATTTGGGCATATTCTTCTTATCAGCTCTCCGACGGCCCAAGATGGCCCAAGAGGCACCCAACATCGTCCCAAGAGCACCCAAGAGGCCTCCAAGATGGCGCCATGACAGCCCAAGAGGCCCCCAAGAGGGCCCCAAGAAGAGCCCAAGACGGCCCAAGATGGCCCCGAAGACGCCGAAGATGGCCTCAAAGACGGCCAAGATGGCCTCCAAGATGCCTCCAAGACGGCCAATAAAGCCTCCAGGACAGCGAAGATGGCCCAAAGATGCACCCAAGACGGCCCCAGATGGCCTCAAAATGGCCTTAGACTGCCCAAAAGGCCCGCCAGAGGCCTCCAAAACGGCCCAAGACCCCTCCAAGACGTCCTCCAGGAGGCCCGAAAGCTCGGAAACCACCTGGTCCGATAGCTCGCCCGACTCCGTGTTCCCCGAAGGCTTTCGAAACCCACTCGGGGAACGCGTGGCCCGATAGCTTGGCCAAGCTCAAACCCAACTTTCGGCCACGCAGGCGCTTCCAGAAAGGCCGGAGGCGGCGGTGATTCGCCGTATGCGTCTTCGATCCGCCGCCCACTGTGCTTGTCACAAGGGTGCCCGGCGTGCTGGACCCTTTCGGTTTTGGTTTTGGTTCTTTTTCCACAGGAACTCTCCCCTGGGGCTTCGGCCCGTCCCGCTGGCCACGTGGAAAATGCTAAAGTCAACGCCTTTCACGCCCAAGATGGCCCCAAATGGACTCCAAAATGCCTCCAAAACGGCCAAGATGACCCAAGATGGCTGGCCTACGAGTCCGCCTCAGATGGTCCATGATGGCCTCCACGACGGCCCAAGCGGGTCCAAGATGCCTCCAAGTCCACCCAAGAAGCTTCCAAGACGGCCCAAGACTGCCCAAGAGGTGCCCCAAGACGGCCCAAAAGGCCTCCGAGAGGTCCTCCAGGAGGGCCCGAAGAGGTTGAAATTATTGGAGTTCCTAAGGTTTTTGAAGGATTTTCGTATTTGCTCAGTTTCGGCCTTCCGACGGCCCAAGACGGCCTAAGAGGCCCCCAAGATCGCCCCCAGAGCGCCCAAGAGGCCTCCAAAATGGCGTCTCGGTTTCTGAACGTTCCCGTCGTTTTTGTGTTGTCTTGAGACCGATCGTTTTGAAAGGCTTCGCTGAACATCGTTGCCCACAGCCGCGGAGGTTTGCCCAAGACCATCCTTTGATCTCCCTCCTTCAACCTCGGTGCCCCACCCTTTTTTCCGTTATCCCTCTATCTCTCTGTCTCTGTCTCTTCTCTCTCTCTCTCTCTCTCTCTGTCTCTCTCTCTCTCTCTCTCTCTCTCTGTCTCTCTCTCTCTCTCTCTCTCTCTCGTCCTCCTCCTTCTCCCGTTCCTCCTCCTCCTGGGGGCTTAGAAAACTTGGCCAGGCGTTGGTTTTTCTTGTTTTTCTGGTCTGGGAGCTCAGAAAACTTTGCCAGGCGTTGGTTTTTCTGGTTTTTTCTGGTTTGGGAGCTCAGAAAACCTGGCCAGGCGTTGGTTTTTCTAGTTTTTGTGGTCTGGGAGCTCAGAAAACCTGGCCAGGCGTTGGTTTTTCTTGTTTTTCTGGTCTGGGGGCTCAGAAAACGTGGCCAGGCGTTGGTGTTTCTGGTTTTTCTGGTCGAGAAGCCCACAAAACCTGGCCAGGCGTTGGTTTGTCTGGTTTTTCTCGTCTGAGGGCTCAGAAAACCTGGCCAGGCGTTGGTTTTTCTGGTTTTTCTGGTCCGACGGCAGTAGTTCGCAAGCCCCCAACCTCCAGGCCAGGTTTTGTGGGCTCCCTGACCAGAAAAACCACAAAAACAAACGCCTGGTCACGTTTTCTGAAACCCCAGACCAGAAAAAAAAAACAGAAAAACCAACGCCTGGCCAGGTTTTCTGAGCTCCCAGACCACAAAAACCAAAAAAAACAACGCCTGGCCAGGTTTTCTGAGCTCCCAAACCAGAAAAACCAGAAAAACCAACGCCTGGCCAGGTTTTCTGAGCTCCCAGACCAGAAAAACAAGAAAAACAAACGCCTGGCCAAGTTTTCTAAGCCCCCAGGAGGAGGAGGAACGGGAGAAGGAGGAGGACGAGAGACAGAGAGAGAGAGAGAGAAGAGACAGAGACAGAGAGATAGAGGGATAACGGAAAAAAGGGTGGGGCACCGAGGTTGAAGGAGGGAGATCAAAGGATGGTCTTGGGCAGGTATGGGGAGGGACGCAATACATGGACGGCTTCTTCGGCAACTACAAGCAATGGGCGAAACCTCGACACGTTCGTCGATCTGATGTGATGCAGTACGTTCGTGAGTACCAGTACTGGTTCGTGACCAAGAAGGGGGACCGCCTGGTGGCGTTCGGGAAGGCTTGCAAGGATTACGCCTGAGTCTGAGGCGTTTGGGGGTAGCTTCCAGAGCAGCGTTGCAGTGACGCTCTGGGAGTAGTTCGCTAGAACCACTGCGTGCTTTCTGATTAGTCTGGGTAAAGAGCGATCGCCCGCTCACGGCGGGGGCAGAACATTAGCGAAACATTGAGCCAAAAAGGATGAGACTAACCAAATAAACAAACAAACAAATATATATATATATATATATATATATATATATACCGTTGAAAAGAAATGGGCGACACAATAAAGAAAACACACTTAACACGTGATGTAATGCAAAGATACGCGGCTGAATTAGAAAAGCCGTCGGGAACGTCCAAAAATGGCCTCAGGACTACCCCAGAGGGCCCCAAGGCGGCCCCAAGAGGGGCCAAAGAACGCTCAAGAGGCCTCTAAGACGCCCAAGGAAGCCTCCAAGACGGCCCTGGAGCGCCCAAGAAGGCCCCAAGTCGGCCCAGAGAGTCCCCCAAGACGGCTTCTGACGGCGTCAGACGGGCCAGGAGCCCACCAGGACGGCCCAAGACGGCTCCAAGACGGCCCAAGACGGCCCAAAAGGCCTCCAAGAGGGCCTCCAGGAAGGACGGCACAAGAGCCCCCAAAGATCGCCGCAAGATCGCTCAAGAGGCACCCCTCATGCAGATCGGCGGGGTCAGGGTCCAAAAACACATGAGATTTGCCACATTTCTGACATTCGGTGGCACCCATCACGCAGATCGGCGGGGTCAGGGTCCAAAAACACAAGGGATTTGCCACATTTCTGACATTCGGTGGCACCCCTCACGCAGATCCGTAGGGTCAGGGTCCAAAAACACATGGGATTTACTACATTTCGAATATTCGGCGGCACCCCTCACGCAGATCCGTAGGGTCAGGGTCGAAAAACAAACAGGTCCCGACACTGCTTCACGGCGGCGCCCAGACCTGATGACTTCGCTCTTCCATGGCTCATTCTCGGAGAGAGGGCGCCAGCGGCAGGGGGCGAAGCCCTTACGGATAAAAAATGAGTACTAGAGTCGTCCCCAGAGTATTTGTTCCTATTTCTGGCTGTTTCTCCTGTCGAGGGGCGTGCCCGACTCAAGCCTGGCCCGGCCCGAGGAGCAGGGCGGGCGAGCCCTCTGGATGCCAGAGGAGGAGGAGGAAGAGAAGGAGGGGGAGGAGGAGGAAGAGGGGGAGAGAGAGGAGGAGGAGGAGGAGGAAGAGAAGGAGGGGGAGGAGGAGGAGGAGGAGGAGGGGGAGGAGAGAGGAGAGGAGGAGGAGGAGGAGGAGGGGAGGAGGAGGAGGAGGAGGAGGAGGAGGAGGGAGGAGGCGGAGGAGGAGGAGGACGAGGAGGACCCCCTCCCCCCTCACAACACCCATGGTAGTGGCAGTGGGAAACAAGCCCCGCCCGGGGAGGAGCAGGGCGGGCGGGCCCTCTGGATGCCAGAGGATGGGCTCGATGCCGCGGCAGTCGAAGATGGCCACGAGCACGGACTGCCCGGCCTGCTCCTGGCCAGGGCGGCACGGCGCACCCACCCCCCCTCGCCGACCCCGAAGGGCGGCGCCGCCAGGAGGAGGAGGAGGAGGAGGAGGAGGGGGAGGAGGAGGGGGAGGAGGAGGAGGAGGAAGAGCGAGGAGGAGGAGGGAGGAGGAGGAGGAGGAAGAGCGATGAGGAGGAGGAGGAGGAGGAGGAAGAGGAGGAGGAGGAGGAGGAGGAGGAGTCACGGCGTTCCTCAGCTCGGCATCTCTCGGGCGGGTGGTAAATGGGCGGTGAGCTAGATGGGGGGGGAAGAAGGAAAGGACCCTACATGGGGCCCTTCAGGGCGCCTTTTGGGTCCCGCGGCAGACGACGGCGGCCCACAGCTACGGCGAGACGAGGACGACAGACGAACGCAACGACGACGACGACGACGACGACGACGACGACCTAATGACGACGACGACGATTACGACGACGACGACGACGACGACGACGACGACGACGACGGCAGCGGCGGCGGGGGCGGCGGCGGCGACGAGGCATGAAGCTGCAGGGGCAGCCAGAGAGCAAGCCCTGAGCCTGGGGCGGCTGGTGCCAGCCCACCTCCCGCCAGCCCACCCACGCCGGCCACGCCCTCTTAAGACGAATGCAGCACGAGGGCGCGCAGCCCACCCGCGGAGGAAAGACGCACGACAAGGGCGCAAGGGCCGCCTTGGAAGGCCATGTCGACCCTCTGCGAGCGGGGCGCGGCCAGCGGAGGCAGCCACTGATTGGCCAAAGAGGCGAGGATGCAAGGGTCACATCCTACTGAAAGAGGATGCAAGGGCCAAAGATTGGCCAAAGATCCAACTGGCAAAGATAGCCACATCCTACTGGCATGATTGGCAAAGAGGCGAGGATGCAAGGGCCACTGATTGGCCAAAGAGGCGAGGATTGTTCCCATCGTACTGAAAGGTCACATCCTGGAAATAATTTCGAGCACCCGGAACAGTGCCGAAACAGTGTCTGCCCGACGCGCTGGCGAAGTCTCGAACAATCATCGCATCCCAGGGCCCGACGTGACCACTTCCCAGTTTCGGTACTTTCTGGCATGACATCATAACCCTTTGGGAAGGTTGGAAAATCATAACCCTTTGGGAAGGTTGCTCATCCTTACTGTGCGGGCTGACCGCAATCGGACGAGGACAGCATCGGAAGTATCCGAGAACGAACGGGTCTGGAGGCTGGCATCGGGCGCCACCTGGTCGCGAGCAAGCGCCATCGACTCAGATGTCAGGCGCGGGGGCGCAGGGGGCATGATACGCTTCCTGAAGGGACGCCAGCGAACGGGACTTCTCAGACCGCGGCGGTGCACCTGAGAGCTGAGACCTCGAGAAGCGCGGGCGAAAGCGTCGCGCCGCGACCTCGTGGGCGAGGCCGAGCGGGACTTGAGAAATCGGCGTCGCCCGTCTCAAAAGCCCCTCCCCCTAGGGTCCGCTGTTGACGACCGAGCAACACGCACCCATACCCATCGGGGGCACGGAGGAGGCTATGGGTGCGTGTTGTCGGATGGGGGTCCCCGCTCGAAGGGGAGCTTCCCCCAGGGTCCGACAACTCGCACCCACACCCATAGCCAGTTCCCCTCCGTTCGACCCTCCTATGGGTATGGGTGTGAGTTGTTCGCTTGTCACCTGTGCACCACGGGCGGGGAGCGGACGCGGCCTGCGCCCCTGCGGGCGCTCGGCTGCCGGAGCAGGCCCGGCGGAGGGACCGCCCCCAGGCCCGCGCGCCGCAGCGGGGGCGGGCGCAGTCGGCGGAGTCGCGCGGGAAGCAGCCACGGAAGAGAAGCCGGCCTGGAGTAGAGAGCAGAAAATCCACTCCCATTACAGTCGGGGCGTTGACCTGAGGAACCCTAAATAAGGAACGAGGCCCCTATTTTCCATAAGTGAACCTTCGATTTCGTATCGAAAACCTAAGGAAAGCCTGAGGCCAACTGTGAAACACCTAAGAACGCGGAGCCCCTCCCCAACGAAAAGGGTTCCTTCTTCAGGGCCCCGACTGTATTACCACCCCGACAAGCGAGGCCGTTCAGTAAACGCACCCATAAAAGGAATCGAACAGGGCAGGGCTGCTTTACAAAAACGCCCGGGGCCGGACAGCGCACGCCACTTCTCGGGCCCGGGTGGCTCTTCCCCCCTTGGTGGAGGACACGGTGCGGAGCTGCGCGGGCCTTGGACACGGCGCGGGGAGCCCGCGGACTGGGGCAGGCCGATCACGGCAAGAGCCGTGCCGCAGGGTGGCCGGGGGGGACTCCGGGGGGCGCCCACGGCGCCTCCCGTGGCGTCGTCGGGTTGGCCACCCTGGCCGTCTGGTAAGCGCGGGCGCTTGGGCTCGGGCGCCGCCGTGCCGGGTGGGGGGCGGACCAGCGTGGGGAGCGGCCGCTTGCACTCTGGGGGACGACCTCGGCCGCACACGCGTGGAGGGCGAGCCTTGACCTCCCCCGGGGGCCAGGCGCCACAGCGCAGCGCAACGACGCGAACAGGCCCATGCGAGTCCGTGCTGCTTCTCTGTGCGCAAGGTCGCCAGATCGCTCCAGCGAGGAAGCCCGTCGAAGAGTGCGGGGCCGCGGCTGGGCACGGCGTGGAGCACGAAGGGCCCGACCGAGCCGCCCGCCTGCGGCGTCGGGCAGGCACGGCGCGCGGAGGCCACTGGCGCAGAGGTCGCAGCGGAAGGAACTGGCGCCCTGGAGGGTGCCGAGCCTGTCGCCGAGCGCGGAGCGAACAGGGATGGGAGCCGGTGCCACAGGAGTCCTCGGCCCCAGTCGGGGGGGACGGGTAGCCGGTGCAGACGGGTGTGCAGGGTCTCGCGGCCGTCGGGGCCCCCGGGTGGAGCTCCGACGCTGCCCTGTGCCCTCGGGGAGAGCAGAGGTGGCCGCCCGTCCCCACGGAGGGGGAACAAAAACCCGAACGCTGGGCCGCCCAGCGGTGCCATGGGGTCTGTGAGGTCACCGCCGCCTGTAGGGAGCGCGTCCGCGCACGCGCGGCACGGCCAGGTGGCGGGGGAGCCACCGCAATGGAGCTGGCTGGCGCTCGGCCATCGAGGTCACCTCGCTGAACATCCGCAGGCGCACAGCGCCCGCAGGGAGTGGCGGCAGCCGTCCAGGGGGCCGCAGCAGGCCCTGCACTCGTCGCACTCGTAGCAGGCCCTGCACTCTCCCACGCCCACACACACACACACACGCACACACGCACGCACGCACGCACGCACGCACGCACGCACACACACACACACACACACACACACACACACACACGCACACACACACACACACACACACACACACACACGCACACACACACACACACACGCACATGTACACCCACACTGACACACACTCTTTGGCGTCGCGGCAGCAATCGCGGCGGCGCGGCGTAGAACGTCGGGCGAAGAGACGCGCGCGGCCGGCCCGGCTCGCGCGGCGCTGGCACCTGGGATCCGCCCATAGGGGATCGACGAGGTCACTCGTGGGGGGGGGGAGGGGCGGACGCAAGGGGAAGGGCGGGGAGACAGGGAGGAGCCAAAAGGCACCTATACCGCTGCGCCACGGACCTCTCCCGGGGTGCGTTCTGATCAGGCTCTCGAGTTGAATCCAGCGGTGGCGACGAGGGCCTCCCAGGAGGCCCAGCAGGGGGAAAGCGGGCGAAGGGCAGCGGTGTGTGTGTGTGTACCTCTTCCTTCTCTGATCGTGTGATGCCCCACCCCCCCCGCGCCCTCCGAGGTGTACGAGCCGAGGGTGTTGCCAGCCTTGCCCTTCAGCTCCTTCACCTCCGACGCCCTGGCGGGGGGATGCTCTCGTCGGAGCGCCGCGTGTGCGCCCCGAGCTGACAGTACAGTCGGCCCGTATCGCAAGGATGCGCGATGGGGATGCGAGGACGCCCCTCTCGAAGCTCTTCGAGCGGGGCGCGGCCAGCGAGGGTGGCCAAGGATGGACCGAGGAGGCAAGGATGCAAGGGTACCCTCGGGAAGGTGGCCCGTCCTCACGATGCGGGCTGACTGTGCCCCACTCCCACACCCCACGATCCCCCGGCTCCTGCCAACCCCACGGGCCCACCACGGCGCCGTGCCCAGAGCCGACCTCCCCTCCGAAAAGCCTGCCCCCTTGTTTTGCTCCCCGCAAGATGGGGCCAAAACAGCCAACGACCGCCCCACAACGGCTGCAAGTCAAAGCCAAAAAATACTCAACTAGCCCCCACAGGGCTCCAAGATCTCCCCGAGTTGCCCCGAGAGGCCCTAAATCCGCCACCGTGCCTTCATCACGTGGTGGAGACCCTGAAAGGTGTAAGATCCGTAAGGGCCCGGACCCCCGCTTTGCCAGGCTCTACCAGGCGCTACTGGGCGCTACCAGGAGCTACCGGGGTGTGACGCATAGGCCTGTGGATTGTGGGTAGTGAGTCGTGAATGAGCAGTGAGTAGTGAGAAGTGAGTATGGACTCGCGAGTAGTGAGTAGTGATAAATGAGTACTGAGACAAGTCTGGGGCTAGGGTTAGGCTTTGGGGTTAGGGTTACGAGTGGTCGGGGTGGTAGTGTTAAGGGTGGTACGGGTCGGGTTCCGGAGCCCGGGGGCGCCGTGGCGAAAAGGAGGGAGGGGGGGGGTCCAATTTGGTGGCCAAAGGGGGGAAGGGGGGAAGGGGTTCGGAGCCCCCACCCCTTTTGAACGTGGGGGGGGGAGGGGCGGTTCCCCGACGACGGGCCAAGAAAGGAGGGGATTGGGGAGGCGGGTTCCCCGACGACGGACCGGGAAGGGGGGGGAGGGGGGGTCCCCGACGACGGATCGGGGAAAGGGAGGGGGGTCCCACCCCCCCACCCCCCTTGGGGCCATCCAGCGGCGCGCCCTCGGGCCGTCCGTCTTCGAGGCCATCTTAAGCGTCTTGGAGGCCTCTTGGGCCGTCTTGGGGCCTCTTGGGGTCGTCTTGGGCCTCGTGGGCGATCTGTGGGGGCTTTTGGGCCGCCTCGGGCCGTCGGCCGAACAAAAAGGAAGTGCCATAATCCTTCAAAAACTCATGGGAAATCAATGATTTTGGCCGTTTCGGGCCGTTTGGGGGGCCTCTCTGGGGGCCTCCCTGGGCCGACTCTCTGGGCCGACTTGGGGTCCAGAGCCGTTTGGGGGGCCTCTCTGGGCCGACTTGGGGCCCTCTGGGGGTGCTGCAGGGCCGTCTTAGAGGCCATCTTGGGCGTCTTGGAGGCCTCTTGGGTCGTCTTTGTGCCCTCTGGGGGCCGCCTTGGGAGCCTCTTGGGCAGTCCTGAGGCCATCTTGGAAGCCTCTTGGGCGCTGTGGGGGCGATCTTTAGGGCCTCTTAGGCCGTCTTGGGCCGTCGGAAGGCCGAAACGGAGCAAACCGGAGGCAAATCAATGATGGTGGCCTCTGCGGGCCCTGCTGGGAGGACCTCTCGGAGGCCTCTTGGGCCGCCTTGGAGGCCTCTTGGGCACCTCTTGGGCCGTCTCGGGCCGTCTTCGAAGGCTCTTGGGCGGACGTGGGGGCATCTCCTCCTCTCCTTGGCCGTCTTGGACGCCATCTTGGGCGAACTTGGAGGCCATCTTGGGCCAACGTGGCCATCTTGGAGGCGTCTGGGGCAGGAAAAACCATTTGCAACCACCTCTGGGCAATCCTCCCGGGACCCCGGCGGGACAGCCCGAAGCCCCAGGGGGAGTTCCTTTAGACACAGAACCAAAACCCAAACCGAAATAATTTAGCACGCCAGGCACCCCTGCGATGAATCGACAGGGGGCGGCGGATCTAACGGCCTTCGGCCCATCCTGCCACCGTGGTTCTGAGGCCACTCGGATGGTCGTTGGGATCTCGTTGGGGCCTCTCGGGGGCCTCCTGGCGGCAGTCTTGGGGCTTCTGGGAAGCTGTTTTGGGGGCCTCTTAATGTCTCTCTTGGACCTCTGAAGGGCCTCTTGAGGCCTCGTGGGGGCTTCTCGGGGGCTGCTCACTGCCCACAACTCACTACTTACTATCCGCTGCTCGCTACTCGCTACTCCCTTCTCCTTACACAACACTCACTGCTCACTACGCATTATTCACTACTCGCTACTCGCTACCCGATACACAATATTCACTACCCACCACGCACTAATCACTACTCAATACTCACTACTCCCTACCTACTCCCTACCTGCTCCCTACTCCCTACTCACTAGTCACTGGTCACACGTCACTTCTAACTACTCACTACTCAGTACTCACTACTCACTACTCACGGCTCACTACTCACTATTCACTACTCTCTACTCGCTACTCCCTACACACGACTCACTACTCACTACTACTTCTCACTCCTCACTACTCACTCACCACTACTCCCTACTCACTACTCACTACCCACTACTCACTACTCACTACTCGCTACTCCCTACTCGCTACTCACTACTCCCTACTCACTACACACTACTGACTACTCCTTCCTCACTACTCACTACTCACTACTCACTACGCCCCACTCGCTACTCACTTTTCACTACTCGCTACCCCCTACTCGCTACTCTCTACTCACTACCCACTCCACACTACCCACTACTCACTACTCACTACTCACTACTCGCTACTCCATACGCGCTACCGACCACTCCCTACTCACCACTCACTCCTGACTACTCCCTCCTCATTATTCACTACTCACGACGCCCTACTCTACTTGCTACTCACTTTTCACTACTCGCTACTCCCTACTCGCTACTCACTAATCACTACCCACTTCCCACTACCCACTACTCACTACTCACAACTCACTACTCACTGCGCACTACTCCCTACTCACTACTCACTACTCACTCCTCACTACTCGCTACTATCTACTCACTACGCACTAGTCACTACTCACTAGTCTCTACTCACTACTGACTACTGACTACTCACTATCCCGAAGCCAGACCCCCCCCTTGCGGGAGAGGCCCCCTCCCTGGCCCCTTGTTCGGCGCAAAGGGGGGGAGTGGGGGGGTTCGAACCCCCCCCCCATTCCAGAGCCAAGGGGGGGAGGGGAGGGGGGGGTTCGGACCCCCCCCCCCCCCATCCAAGGGGGGGGGGAGGGTAAGGGTGGGGGGTTCGGAACCGCCCCCCTCAAGGGGAGGAGGAGGAGGAGGAGGGGTCGAAAATCTCACCCCCCCCCTTTGAAGGGGGGGAGGGGGGGGAGGTTCTGCGAGCACACACACCCTCTTCAATCACAGGGTCATCCACTGTTTCTTTTTTTTCGGCCTTCCGACGGCCCGAGACAGCCCAAGTGCCCCCAAAGATCGCCCAAAAGGCCCAAAACGGCCCCAAGAGGCCCCCAAGACGGCCCAAGAAGCCTGCAAGACGCTCAAGATGGCCTCGAAGACAGCCCAAGAGCCCTCCAAGACGTCCTCCAAGAAGGCCCGAAAGGGTCAAAATGGCCTCCAGACGGCCAAGAGGACCTTCAAGATGCCCACGTGTTCCCCGAAGGCTTTCCGAACCGATTCGGGGAACACATGGTCCGATAGTTTGGCAGGTCTTGGCAGGTCTGGCCTGTTCGGCCACATAGGCGCTTCCAAAAAGGCAGGGGGCGGCGGTGATTCGCCGTAGGCGTCTTCCATCCGCCGCCCCCTGTTGCTTGCAAGAAGGGTGCCTGGCGTGCTGAATCCTATCGTTTTTGGTTTTGGTTCTTTTTCGAAAGAACTCCCCCTGGGGCTCCAGCGCGTCCCGCCGGCCACCCGATAGGATGCCGAAAATTAGCCCGGACCCGGCTCCAAAAGGTTTTTCCTGGTCCAGACGGCTCCACGACGGCCCAACATGGCCTCCAAGATGCATCCCAGACGGCCAAGATAGCCTCCAAGACGGCTAAGATGGCCCCTAGATGCCTCCAAGACGGCCCAAGATGTGCCCAAGATGGCGTAAGATAGCCTCAAGATGGCCCAAGACGGCCCAAGAGGCCTCAATACTGCCCAAGAGGCCTCCAAGAGGTGCTCCAGGAGGGCCCGCAGAGGCCAAAATCATAGATTTCCTTAGGTTTTTGAAGGATTTGGGCACTTGCCTCTTCTCGGCATTCCGACGGCTCAAGACGGCCCAAGAGGCCGCCAAGATCGCCCCACCATCGCCCAAGAGGCCTCCAAAAGGGCCCCATGACGGCCCAAGAGGCCTCCAAGACGACCCCAAGAGAGCCCCAAAAGACCTCCAAGACGCCCAAGACGGCCCCGAAGCGCCCCAAGAGGACCCCAAGTCGGTTCAGAGAGGCCCACAAGACGGCTCCCGACGGCGTCAGACGTGCCAGGAACCCACCAAGATGGCCGAAGTTGGCCAGAAGCTGGCCCAAGACGGCCCAAGAGGCCTCCATAAGGGCCTCCAGGAAACCCAGAAAAAAACAAAAACAAAAAACTGACGTTCCTTAGGTTTTTGAGGACTTTGACATTTGCTTCTTTTCGACCTTCCGACGGACCGAGGCGGTCCAAGAGGCTCCCACAGATCGCCCAAAGGTCGCCCAAGAGGTCTCCAAGATGGTCCCGAACGGCCCAAGAGGCCCCCAAGACGGCCCCAAGAGGTCCCCAAGACGGCCCAGGAGACCTTTAAGACGCCCAAGATGGCCTCCAAGACGGCCCTGGAGCACCCCAAGAGGGCCCCAAGTCGGCCCAGAGAGGCCCCCCAAACGGCTTCCGACGGCGTCAGACGGGCCAGCAGCCCACCAAGACGGCCGAAGATGGCCCTAAGATGGTCCAAGACGGCCCGAGAGGCCTCCAAGAGGGCCTCCAAGAGGGCCTCCAGGAAGGCCGGAAAAGGCCAAAATCATTGATCTCCCATGAGTCTTTGTTCGGCCTTCCGACGGCCCGAGACGGCCCAACAGCCCTCAAAGATCGCCCAACAGGCCCAAGACGGCCCTAAGAGGCCCCCAAAACGGCCCAAGAGGCCTCCAAGACGCCCAAGATGGCCTCGAAGACGGCCCAAGAGCCCTCCAAGACGTCCTCCAAGAAGGCCCGAAAGGGTCAAAATGGCCTCCAGACGGCCAAGAGGACCTTCAATATGCCCACGTGTTGCCCGAAGGCTTTCCGAACCGATTCGGGGAACACATGGTCCGATAGCTTGGCAGATCTGACCTCAACGCTCGGCCACATAGGCGCTTCCAAAAAGGCAGGGGGCGGCGGTGATTCGCCGCAGGCGTCTTCCATCCGCCGCCCCCCGTTGCTTGCAAGAGGGGTGCCTGGCGTGCAAAATCCTATCGTTTTTGGTTTTGGTTCTTTGTCTAAAAGAACTCTCCCCAAGGCTTCGGCCCGTCCCGCCGGGGTCCTGGAAGGATTGCCCAAACCCAGCTTTTAAAGGGTTGTTCCTGCTCCAGACGGCTCCAAGACGGCCCAACATGGCCTCCAAGACGGGTAAGATGGCCTCAAGATACCTCCAAGACGGCCCAAGATGCACCCAAGACGGCCTCAGATGGTCTCAAGATGGCCCAAGATGGCCCAAGAGGCCCCCAGGAGGCCTCCAAGACAGCCCAAGAGGCCTCCAAGAGGTCCTCCAGGAGGGCCCGAAGAGGCCCACGAGGCTTTTGAGACGCCCAAAATGGGTCCAAGACAGCCCTCCTCCTCCTCCTCCTCCTCCTCCTCCTCCTCCGCCTCCTCCTCCTCCTCCTCCGCCTCCTCCGCCTCCTCAACCTCCTCCGCCTCCTCCGCCTCCTGCGGAAGCAAGACTACAAACAACGCCGCCTGTTCTGAGCCTGCCATGATATCCGGCCATCCCCCAGAAGAGACGCTTGCCCCAGCGTCCTCGTGGGTGTGAACACGCTCATCGAGGAAGAAGACTTCGCGCCCTCCCACTTCACCAAAAAGTTCGCCGTGCCTTTGCTGTTCGGAATGTCGTACTCCTAGAGGGGAGGCACGAAGAGCGCGCATGAAAGTACAACATCGCTGGATTGGAGCAGACTGATTCGTAGACTCTTGCAAAAACTGGTCGAACAGGATGGCACAATGGAACACGATCGAGGGCAAGATGCATGAAAACGTATGGTGGATGCTGCGCCCTCTACTGCCAACATGTGATGGGCAGATACGAACACACTTTTGTAAGAAGCCGCGTGCGAAAACGCGCCTGGTGAGCCTGCGGCTTCGAAGCACCCCGCGCAGCACCGCCAATTGAATTACGTAAGTTCATGTGGACGGACGACAGCCAGGGAGCCAGCAGGATCGCGCACACACACACACACACACACAGACACACACACACACACACACACACACACACATACGCACACACGTTTTGTTTCACAGCCGGCTGGCCCAAGACACCGAAGGAAATAGCGGGATGCGCTAAGCTGCTTACCACCGAACATGTGCCGATCGGATACCGACCGACGAACGGGTACGGATGCACCCAAAAAAACGGATTCCGTTAACGTACGGACGCATGCGTGGGACCAGGAAAACGAGGGTACGTGAAGACACACACAAATTTGTCAGAGTTGCGGCCACGTGCGCAGCGACGCGGCGGAGCCGACACAAACACACACACACACACACAGACACTGAGACAAACACACACACACACACACACACATACACATGCACATACACATACACACAAAACTCACACATTTTTAGCGCGCAACGACACGGCGGAGAAAGTCGTGGAGCGGCAATCGCGCGCGCGTGGTTAGAGAAGACCGAACCCTCAGAGACCGCATAATGGCGCGCAGCAGCCGCCCGCCATAAGCCATCTGGGCGTGGATGACGGGGGGGGGAAGACGAGGCTACGGTGCGGCGGAGGCGCCATACGCTATCCAGGACTGATGGCGGGGGGGGCGAGTCAACAGCGTGGAAACACGAGTAAGCCAAGACCGACCTAAAGCCCAAAATGCGGAGGGCTCACGCGCCCACACTGCGCGGGCGGCGGGGCCGGCAGGAGCCGGCAAGACGGCACCAAGAGCGAGGAGCAGGGAGGCCGCAGAGGCCTGGCAGCGGCGGCCGGGACGCCGCAAACGTCGCAGGCAGCAGGGCAACGACGCTCGGCAAGCCGGCCGACGCGCGGAAAGCGGCGGCGGCCGAGAAGGCAAGCCACAGAGAGCTTGTGATTCACCAAAGACAAACGAGGCGCGCACTTACAAAAAGGGCCCCCGTGTTCGGCCGAATCGCGGGGGAGGCGCCCGCAAAGTGGAAGCGCACGGCGGCACCGGCGCCTGTGATTGGCGCCGATGCCTGGCCGACAGCAGGAGGGCGATAGGCGCGACGCAAGCGGCGCCGTTGCAGCGGAGGGGGACAGGAGCGCCTCCGCTATAGCGGGGCGGTTGGACCAAAACGGCGACAGACAGGAGGGAAAGAGGAGACGGGGGAAAGAGGTGCCTCAGCTGGCGGGCGGCACCGACATGGCTACACACAAGCAAAAGAAAAGGGGGGGAGAACCGACGAAAGCAGGCGAAAGGGCTCCTCCATCTCCTGCTCCGCCACCCCCCCCGCCTTCACTAGAATTTCCGACGACGACGACGACGACAACGACGACAAAAATGACGGCGAAGACGACGGCGAAGACGATGGCGACAGCGGACGACGACGCACTGTGGATGGTGCATGCCCGTTGTGGTCGTCGACGACAACGGCAACGGCGACGGCGACGACGACGACGACAACGACGACGACCACGACGACGACGAGAACGACAGCGATGACGACGACGACGACGACGACGACGACGACGACGACGACGACGACGACGACGGCGGCGGCGGCGGCGGCGGCGGCGGCGGCGGCGGAGACGATGACGACGACGACGACGACGACGACGACGACGACGACGACGACGACGACGACAACGACGACGACGACGCAACGACAACGACGACGATGACGACGACGCACTCGTGGGCGAAATGCTGGCTCGCGCCGGGGGGCCCCGCAGGAGCGGGGAGACGAAGCGAGGCGGGGGGTCCGCGGCCCCGCCGTCCTGCCGCGGGCGGCGGGCAAGGCAGCAGGGGGACCTGAGCCGATGGGGCCGGGCGTGCGTCCGTTTGGACGCCGGAAGTGGGTACGGAAAGAGTGGGCACAATGCCCAACAACCACTGTTGCCCAAACCAACAGCGGCCGCTGTTGGGCGGGCGGCCTTCTGTCTCAAATGGACACAGGCCGCGGCGGCGTGGACAGCGAATCCTGTTCAAAACGAGCAGGAACTGCTGTTGGGCATTGTACCCATTCTTTCCGTACCCACTTCGGGCGTCCAGAGTCCGGGGGAGCGGAGGCACAGGGCGCGTGGATGGGCCGGCTGCCCCGCACACAGGGTGCCTGGAGGTCTTCCTGTTGCGCCTGAGCTCCGACGGGAGAGTACCGTTGTTTTCGTGCGTCTTCGAGCACCAGTCCTGAAGCCTAAGCCTGTCCCACTCGAAACCCTCGATGAACGCATTCAGATACGGAGTATCGACCAAGTCGGGGTCGATCCGCAAGATGGGTTTCTCCCGCTTCGAGGCGTGACTGAAGAAGTCCTTCCGCACTCAGGGTTGCCCCAGGACGGTACGGATCTCGCCGATGCGCTTGACAAGGCGACGGGGTGGTCGCAGCGTCTGCACAATAAGCGTCGGGGGGGGCTGACGCGGGCACATGCAATGCGGGGTGCGCTTTATGGCCAAAGGCGCGACCTAAAAATGAGAGGAGGAAGGTGGCGGGCTGCCCAATGGAGTCAGCGGAGGGAGAGCCGTGTTTGTGAAGGGCGGCGCGCCAGAGTCTGGCCTGGCGGGAATCCCAACTGGGTGAAGCCAGCGGTCGCGAGAACCAAGTGCCGGTGGGAGAGCTGGGCGATGGCGGTTTCGGCTAAATCCGCGAAGGCAAAGGCGCGGGGAGCACACGGGGAGCGCAGCGGACGAGAGCTGCGAGTGTGGCGCCGCCAGGGACCGCGCCCAGGGCGCTCGAGGGTCGCCGGCGCGGGGGGCAGGCCAGGCCGGGGAGCGAGACCGTGCATGGGTGGCCCCGCTGCGCAGCCAGCTATCCTGCTGTAGGTTGGCGCTGGCAGTGGAATGAGGGGCGTGGCCCCTGTCGGCCCGCAACCTAAAACGCTGCGAGCCGCTGGGCTCAGCCCGGGAACCACTGCGGGGGGTCAGCGTGATGAGGGTAGTGGAAAGAGCCAGCAATGCGCCACCCAACGTGACAAATCGCTGCACGGAGACGACCAGCATTCACTGGGGCGCGTTGGGGCCATCGGTGAACTTGAGATGAAGGTGGTCGCGGGACTTGTCACCGCGAAGATCCCGCATGAAGAGCCGCAACATGACACACACACACACACACACACGAGCACACACACACACAAACACACTAACACGCAAACACACAAACACACACACACACATACACGCGCACACACACACACACACAACCACACACACACACGCACGCACGCACGCACGCACGCACGCACGCACGCACACACACACACACACACACACACACACACACACAGAACACACGGACACAACGCGGACACACACCACAAACACACACACACACGACACACCAGACACACACACACACACACACACAAACACACACACACGCACACACAAACACACACACACACACACACCACACACACAACGCGCGCGCCCGCACGCACGCACGCACCACGCACGAACGTACGTACGTACGTACGTACACACACACACACACACACACACACACACACACGCACACACACACACACAAGCACACGCACACGCACCCACGCACCCACACACACACACACACACACACACACACACACGCTTACACTTTTCCATCGCGGCACGGAAGAGGCAGTCCGCACGCGCGCTCGGGCAAACCGCATGACGGCATTGCGAACAGCCGGCAGCAAGAATGGTAAATGGGGAGGGGAGGAGCGGACGCGGGAGGGGGGGGAAGGCTAGAGCGCTCACGCGTCGGGGCCCGCTGCGGAGCGACAGAGGCGGCCAGCCAGTACTACACCCCTGGCAGCGGACGCGGGGTGGCGGGGCGGCCACACCCAGGGGCTGGGGCTGCGGCTGCAACGCGCGAAGAAGATGCACTAAAGGGGAAGCGGGCGTGGTGCCGAAGATCACCTGCGGCGGTGCCACACGCGGCGTCCCAAGTGGCTAAATGCAGCAGGACGGAGCTGGGCGCGCTGCAGGCCGTGGGCTATGCTGTGAGCGGTGGCCCCCAGGCTGGAAAGGGGAGGGAATCCCGCCAGACCGGCCACAACGGAGCGGCGCTGCTGGCGGCGGGGGCGCGCGCGCGCGCCCGCCCGGCAAGCCACGACGGCGAAGCCGGCGGGGTGGCAGAGGCCCCGGGGTCAGCCGCGACGGCCGGCGGAAGAGCCGCACACACACACACTCACACACACGCGCGCCCGAACACGCGACAAGCCCCTGGGAGTGACGAAGCCCAAACACTCGAGCAGTTTAGCCATCACGTGACTCGTGTTGCTTCTAACTTGCTTCGCCGTCGAAAGGTTTCAAGCGACAGCATTACAGCTCCAGCTCCAAACGGCCCAAGACAGCCTCAGGACGGGCTCAAGACGACCCAATGCATACCCAAGAGGTCCACGAGACGGACATAAGACACTCTGAGACGAGCCGCCTAAGACGCCCCCCCAAAGAAGCCCACACGGGCTCCACAGTATGCCCAAAACACCTCAACGACAGCCATGAGACAGCTCTGAGTCGGCCCAACACGGACCCAATTTGCCCCGATATCGGTCCTGAAGGATGTCCGCGAGCTTAACGGGCGAACGGCGAAGGCGCCAGGGATCTATCCGACAGGCCAACAACACTACCAACACGACCAACACATCCCCTAAGAAGACAGGACCCAAATTATCTAAGCGAGACACCCTACATAGTGGTAAAGAATTGCGGGTGCCAGGGTCCAGGCATTCACTGTCTTTGAAAAAACAAGAACGGTCCTGGCAGTGACCGAGGGATCTGGCAAGGACATGATAGGATCCTAGTAAATGGCCAGGGGCAAAGTCCTAGTAGGGATCCTGGCCAGGTCCTATAGACGTATTGGTTATGTCCTGGCGAAACTGTAAGAGACTTTGGGGTGTTGAAACACAAACCCAGCGGGTCCCAGTCAGATCTTGGCCAGGTCTTGTCATGAGAACATCCTTACTACTCGCAGGGGCGCTGTCATCTCCTGAGTGGGGTCCCTCTGAATCCTGGCAGGCGTCGCTTTCCAAACTCCCTGAGGAGCACCGCGGCTGGGCGGGGATGCTGTGTTACAGTCGTGGCTGATTGGAGAGGACACGCGAGAGGACACAAGACCCTTCCGAGGGCCAGATTGCCACAGGAATGTACAAGGCGTGGGTCGCGAAACATGGACACGAGGGTACCCTTGATTTGGCAGGGTCTACCTACTAATCAACTTCGACTGTAGTCTGGGCGAGTGCTCACGAGGGCACCCCCTCGCAGCCCTGACACCGTCATCGCTACCTGGCTCCCCATCAGGGACACACTGCGGCCGGGTGAGGCGCTGCGTCTCTCGAGGAGGCCCTCCACCCCTGCGGCTGTCGCGGCACTCCCCGGCAGGCACCGCGGCTGGGAGGAGCCACGGTACGTTTCGCTGTACCTGACCTTGCAGACGTGCTGCAGCGGATTTTTGCGTGGACGTCTGCAGATGCAAAGCCCCGAAAAGGCGAGCGCAAAACGAAGTGAAGTTCACGTGGATGTTTTGCAGTCTTCGCTCCTGGCCGAAAAAGTCAGCGCCAAATTCACGTCGAAATCTGAAACGAAATTATCCAGGGAAAATCCGGCCCATCCCAGTGTTTTCCGAACTAAATCCGCTGTGCGATGTTGGCGCCACGAGACGTTGGCCTGGGCGTGGTTCTCTGGGACACCCCTCCCGCCCTTGCAACCGTCGTCACGTTCCAGCTCCCCTACCCATCAGTCGGAAGAAATGGGTAGAAACATGAAGTAGGAAGGCGTTGAAAATAGATTGGGTTTTTGTCCGCCCCCATAAGAAGAACGGAAAAGGTAAATCCACTCGATCATTAAAGTAGGAAGGCGCTTAAGGTGGATTGGAATCTGGGAAAAATACCTACCCTCGACGACAGATGAGTGCAGGAACCGGGCTGGGTGGTGACGTTATGTTGGCCTTGGCGCGCACTCGCAAGGGCCCCGAGATCTCAGTTCTTGCAATCGTGTTTTCACTCGGGGATGGACAGAACCCCCTTGAGCACAACGTGATTTAGTGAAAACGACCTCGGGCCCAAACCTGGCGGGCGCAAACCTGGAAAATGACGGCCGCGGCGACCTCTCGAGAACCGACAACGGACAAATCACTAATCGACGTGTCAGGGTGGGGGGTCCGTCCACCCCCGATTCACCTCCTCCCGAGCTCGACGGTGCGCGTCGGCCTGGACTCGCGCTCTCAGGAGTACCGCTCTCATGCTGGAAGCCGTCGTCCCTTGGAACGGCGGCTGGATGGGTCGCCATGTAGGCCCGCGCGCAAGTTCGCCTGAACATGCTTATAACCATCTAGGGGGCCACATGCGAACCCTACCCCCACCCCCCACGATTTCTGAGGGGGAGGGTGGGGGGTCACTTTGTTCGGGAGCTCCCGAGCAAAGTGAACCCCACCCTCCCCCTCAGAACTCGTGGGGGGTGCAGGTAGGGTTCGCATGTGGCCCCCTAACCATCATTACCGCCATCTGAACAGGGCGAACAGATAGAGAAAGCGACCGTATGTACATACATAGCATGTTGTCCATGGAACTCGCGTACACATCATGGGGCCCCATACGGCCATCCCTGGACCCACAGGTTGCATGAAGGGCTGCGTCGGTCTGACTGCATCGGGGTTCCTCCCAACTCCCTCCCTTGCCCACTTCATGGCACTTTCATCCGACCTTCACACATCATTTCTTGCCTTGCTATTCCCCATATAGGGGAAGACGGCTTCACGCCACAATGTATCTCAAATTTAGGTCGTGAAGGAGGCTGATCCGCAGGTCGCTCGAAATGGCCAGGCAGACAGCAAACATCGATGAAAGCAAGAGGAGCCCAACATCCAGCAGGAATGAAATGATCAAAACACAGGTTCTGACGAGCTGGACAAGTCGCCTTTCGGCATGAAACCACACTGGCTTACAACTCGCACCCACACAGTTGTTCCCGGGCTTGCCAGACCCATTCGCGCGGCTCCAAGCCCCGAAGTGGCTCCCCCCGAGGACAGCATCCAGCGCCGACGCCCCCATCCCAAGGAGAGGAAAAAAGTGGCTCTACATAGTTCCTCTACTTTCTTAGCTGGCCCACCGATGGCATGCCCGGAGCAGAGCCGGGACCGAGCGGTGTCCTCCACGGAGTTGACCGTTATTCTTTCCCGCACCTCGTCGCCGGCGGGGTTCTTGACCTGATTCAGCCCA